CGTGATGGCTGCTTCCGTTATAGATCGCGTGTCCTAATCGCTTGTCGCCCAAATTGCTGCCAATTTCGGAACGCGCACCGTGTGTCGCCATTATGCATTGTAATTGGACCGTAATTGTAGACATCTATAGTCAGGAAGTGAGCCTCTTTCTAAACTCAAACGCCGACGGAGAAACGTTTGGCGGTCCATCAGCTACTTTAGAGGCCTGTTAATTTTCTCGTCGACGCTCGCCAGACAGTCTATTATTATTGTCTATTATTATCGCATTCATTACGCTGTTCCTATTGTCATCTTGTAGACGTTATTATAGTTGCTAATGTATATCTGATATGCTCTATTATTTCTTTATATTTTGTCAGTCTATATAGTTCAACTAATAAGTACTAAAAAATGTGCTAATTTAATATATATATCTAATATAAAGCAAAAAAATCTTAATACATTTAATTTACAAAAAGATATTTAAATAAAATTCAAAAGTGATAGCAGAAATACAGACTTATGATTCAATTTATAAAAACAGCAGATACGAAAGTTTTATCATGCAACTTATGTCATACTGCTCTTCAGTTTTTAATTTCGCGAAGTCAAAAAGCATCTATTAATATGTAATCGGTATTGAGAAAAATCTGTGTTGCTTGTGTTTGCAATTTTTATATTCTCAGGATAGAAAAAATCTATACACGACACAATTTCCGCGAGAATCTGCCGGAGCTGACAAAGAGCGAGTCTTCGATCGCGACGCAAACCTGAACGAGCACGAGAGGGATTGTCGAGAGGGTGCTCGCGCTCGCGCACACCGAGACCCCATTACCCAAGAGATTATGGTAAAGTGACTAGCTGCCAGGAGGGGGAAAGGGAGGGTTTGGCGCAATTAGGGCGCCACGAGGGTATAGAGATGGAAATGGTGAGGAAGGTTGTCGAGGGTTGAAGGAGAGACAGGAGGATGGCAAAGACGAAAGAGGGAGATAGCTGATTTACACAGAGGGCGGATCACGACGCGCCTTAATGCGGTTTCGTCGGAATTGTTCTGTACACACATTATTTGTATTTTTCTGTGTAAAGATTTAGATACATTCGTGTATATGGATTTTTATAGAGATAATTTGGAAGTAATATTATTTCGGTCACTTTATGTGTAAAAGTTTCGTTCCTGTCTGAGCAAATTTTTTTTATATAAAAATAAAAATATTTAAAACATTTTTAATTTAGTACCTTACAAAGAATTTCCAAGATTTTAATAATTGTAGATCAAAACACTGAAATTCAAAAATGTTGGACTTTGAAAATATATCAAGAATGAAAAAGAGAAATATATAAAAGAATAAAAATTCAAAAAGAGAAAGAGTTCTGAAAATTAAAACATTTAGAACTAAACTTTCATTATTCGTTAACAAAAGCTTATCAAAAGATATCTGACTAATATATATTTTTGCAAGATACATATTTGCTAAAATCAAATCTCGGGTTCTAACAGCGCGATGTTTGATACACAAATAAAACATTCTTTTTAAATTCTCCGGCATTTGCGATTGATTTTACGTATTAAAATCTTTTCTAACTTCCATATTTAATTATTATAAAATCCAAAATCGCTGTCCGACGTTTCCTAGCAGATTTTTTATTCCGTGCCAGACCAAACCTCCTTTTCCAACACAGCGTCGCGCGGAAAAGAACAACGCAACGTTAGTCACAATACACGATCGCGCATCTTCTGTGTGTATGCAAAACTTCTCACACTCGACAAAATAGGCGTGTCCGCGCACGTGGATATTACGTTCACGTGCACACATATGTGAGCGTATGCGTGACGAGGAGGCACGTCAGTCAGTCAGTCACTCGCTCACTCACTCACATCCCTTCGCCGGGGTGCATGCGTAATGAGGCATCCGCGCCATTTCTCGCCCCCCTTTTTATTCGTTTCCCTCCCCTTGTCTCCGCCGTCGAGGACGACGGAAAAGATCCCTCCTACGACCCTTATCCAAACCCACCGCCACCCTTCGTCGACGATACGAGCGAGACGACGGAGTCGGTATCCAATTCGCCCTGCGGCTCGATTCGCCGCAGGGAAATCCTCGTGTAAATACGCTCGCAACTGCCGACTTTACCTATGTAAACATCCACCTTTTCCCCGGACGCGCTTATGGAAATTGAACCTCCGAATTCGATCCCGCGAATCTGCATATGAGAAATTATTTCCGCGTATGTCACGAATTTTTAATTCTTTGCAGAACCAATATCCAAGAGTAGAAAATTCTACGGAATATAAAAAAATCTCCTAAATATCTCCGCGGATCTATATAATTAAATAACTGTTTACTGAAATATCCAATGGTATAGATTTATAAAAATCATTGTATTCTTGAAACTACATCGAAAAGAAAATTTGTTAACCTGACTAAATAACCTTCCAACTAAATATTATTTTGTTAATTAAACATGTAAGAATATTTAAATTCAATATAACATATTAAACATTTGATTTCAATGCAAAATAGTAATTTAGTTGAAAGGTTTAGTCAAGTTAATAATGTTTTTTCTTATTCAGAGAAGAATTTCTATAATATCTTTAGTTTATTTCGCATTTCAAAAGCTTGCTCTCAAAAAAAGGATATGTGATATTATTTTCTAATTCATTGAATTACTACGCCCTTCGTTATTACGCAGTCTTATTCCCTGTCACCCTTTGTTTGAACAAGCTCGGTGGCAGAGTGTCACCGTGCAAACGCAGAAGTGCAAATAATAAAGTGTCAGACGGCATTACAATAAGCTAAGCGAGGTAGTGAAGGGAGATTGACAGGAAACGAACGTAAACCAGACTCAATCTCGCACATACCTATCATTTCAAACTGATCGAAATACTCGATACGTATAAATTTGACTATTCGAACATAATTGTGCAAGAGACTATAGATTATTTTATATTTATAAAAAAACATGAGAAATAAAATACTATGTATATAACGTAAAGTTACTGCTGCAATAATAATTATACTTAAGCAATTACTATAAATTAATTATTGTATAAAATATTTCTTATTAGTTCTCAATTTAAATTATATTTAGAAAATTAGCGAGGAAGCGAACAATAAAGCGATAATTTATAATTTGAATCCTGTCACTTTAATTCTTACTTGATTAAATGACTATTTTATGCAAAAAATTTATTTTTAGATTTATATCCAGATCAAACACTGTATTACTAATAATTAATTCGCTATTGAAATATTTTATTATGACAATTATAGGTGTGTCTGATATTTCACTATGCCGCCATATACACAATATCGTCCCACCCATAATTATACGTATGTAATTAAATCGAATGAAATAAAATGCGAGTATGTAATTAAAGCAAAACATATAAATCACGTGTAAATGATAAGAAAGTCAATGACAGATGGATATGTAGTAGCTAAATGATTTAAATTAAAAGTGTGAAAAAAGTGTGAAAATTAAAAATCTTTTTTAATTTGCATATCGAATTTTGTCAATGACGAGCAATGCTCGATGTCTAGTATGCCTTTAAAAAACTAGATAACACGAGAAAAGAAAGCAAAAAAAATAAGAGAAAGAAAGTTCAAAACGTCAATGAAAGTACACCGACGTTATAATCGCGTATATGTATGTAAGTAAAACTAAATGAAATATATTTGTGTGAGTAACTGAATTGAGACATCATAAATCACTACGTAGAAACAAACTTGATGGCAGGTGAACATGCAGTAGCTAAACGATTTCACACCTCGAGGTGCGATGTGCGATACCTAAACAACTGAAAATTGCGAAAAAAGTGTCGGCTACCAATTAAGCGATGACTTCGTGCGGATTAATTAATACACATTAATATATATTAATACATATGTTGAAAAAACCTTTGCTTACCTTTTCATTTCTAAATAACAATTTCTTTTTTTAAATAACGATTTTAATATTTATAATTCAATTATTTGTCGATTAAATTTTATATATGCTTATATCATAAATTGTGATGTTGAAAACGAGTTTTGCGCTGCAAATCGATGGTGTGTGAATACATTTTATACAACTCGTATGTAAACTTTATTGCATCGCATCGCCTTTATTTCAATTGAATAATCATAATTACTTCAAAAGAGGATCGCAACTTTACGCATCATGTTTAGATTGACAAATAACAGACTCGTTTCATTAGAGACTCTTTAGGGGTCTCATTAGGTATTATTAAAATATTCATGAGATTGTTAATGCTTATTGAAAATATATATAATGCATAATTTAAATTTCTTTCTAAGCTAATCTCGACAATACATTTTTTTCGCGAATGATAAGAAAGATTTAATATAAAAATAACATAAAACATTAAACTATTCATAAGATTGTTAAGACAAATGCTTATTGAAAATATATATAATGCATAATTTAAATTTCTTTCTAATTGTAAGCTAATCTCAAAAATTTTGAAAAATTAATATTAAATTATTATTGCATTAGCGTTTTTTATATACTAACTATATATTTCGCGAATAATATTAAAGATAAATTCGATTTTTATTTTGCTCAAAGTATATAAAATATAGTCTTTCAAATAAAATAAAATTAAAATATTCACAAGATTGTAATATGCTCATTGAAAATATATATAATTTAAATATCTTTCTGAGCTAATCTCGAAAACATTAATATTATATTATTTTTACATTATTTTAGCATTTTTTATATACTGGCTATTATATTTTGCAAATGATAAGAAAAATAAATCGAGTTTTACTTTACTCGAAGTAAATAAACACAGTCTTTCAAATAAAAAAACTTGAAAATATTCTCAAAATTCTTAATGCGAGTGCTTATAGAAAATATGCATAATTTATAAATTTGTTTTTGAGCTAATTTCAAAAATCGATTTTTTTAAATAATATATTATTATGTTAGTAGTTTTCATTCATATTTTGGGTATATATATTTCAGATGGTGATGATATAAATTCGATCATATAAGTAAAATAAAATCAATTTGCTCACCGGTCGTTGAAACACGTCCGCATTTTCGTTGATTTTACGTCTCGTTGATTGTCGTTTCAGAAAGCCTCGTTCCTATAAATAATATTATGTTATTATATTAGCGTGTTTCATATGCCAGCTATATATTTCAGGTAAATGGCGATAATATAAATTCGATGATATATAGTCAGGTAAATAAAATCAATTTGCTCACCAGTCGTTGAAACGCTGCCATATTCTCGTTGATTGTTGCGTCGCTTCGCCCAGATGCATTTTCATCGACCAGGCACTACTGATTTCGATTTCGCGCATAAATAATACGATAGAACGATCGCCCGTTACTTTGTACGGCACTCCCGACACCGATTGCGCGCACTACACAGCCGGTTGCATAAATAACAACGGATAAATAACGACAATAAATAACCGTGCGCCACTCGCGATATTCGCGGTATGTAGTGAAGTAGTTCGCTGTGACGTAGCGCTTGAAGTTGTGCTAAGCGCGGCGAACTTCGCGCGATCCGCGCGCGACTCCTATAACCATCTGAAAACAATGAATTATTTATTAATTAAATATCTAGCATCCAAAAATACAATTTTCCCAAAGCGCAAAAGCACGAACGCGATGCGATTCGTACGGATAAATGACACGAAATGATACATACCTCTTCAGAATGTTCGATGAATTAATAGATCCGGAGAAAAAGCGGCAAAGCGGCGTACCCCATCGGTTGCAGACTGTCGAAGCTTGATTAATCGCAATCGTACGAGTTAATTAATACTTCCTGGTAATTGCTCGTGACACGATTCGATACTCCCGACATTCGTTCGTACGCGGAATTCATTCTTAATAAGAAAAAATGTGTGAAAAATGCGGAGCCGATTGAGCGCGATGTAGAGACTAGTGGGAGGACGCGAGGGACGACGGTCGTGACGTAGTAACTACGTAAGTCAACAAACAGCGCGCCGCGCGCCAAATTCAAAAACAATTATAGGCTACAACTTTTACTTTTACTTGAACTGTCGTCTAAATTATTACTGTGTGTATTTAAATTTATATTATATAGGATTCGATATTTCGATTTCGTAATAATTTTATCAACATATTATTGCGATTGTAATTTCAAGTATGTCAGTTGTACGCACAGAAATTTGACATACATACATATTAATTTTGAATTTTGAAAGACTGATTAAAGATTAATCGCGATCGCACGCATTAATTAATATTTTAATGATTGTCTATATTGTGAATATTTCTTACAATTAGAAATGTCACTCACTCAAGTTTAACATTACATAATAAAATAACGTAATGTATCTTGTTCGTTAGCAATTAAATAGATTGTACTAGTGATATCGTATTGATCATTTAATTAATTAAATTTGATTAATATTTTGTTCCAATATTCATGACATTTGACAATAATATCATGTAAAACAGATATTAATAATTTTTTAAAATTATAATATTTCTTATTAGTAACATTCAGAAACAAAATTAAAAATTAATTGGAAAAATTATTATATATTATAAATATATTATTAATATATAATAATATATTTATAATATATAATGATTTTTCCAATTAATTTTTAATTTTGTTTCTGAATGTTACTATAAGAAATATTATGATTTAAAAAAATTCTTCGTCTCTTTTTAGATAAGCAAATCCGTAATTCAATCGTCTAATAAAGGTCTTCAACGTATCTTCTGTCGACCCTCGAGTTAATTTTGCATAATGATTTGATTTTATTATTAAAAGTAACTATCAAAATTAAATTCTCAAATATCCAGATTGTAATCGTTACTGCAAGTATTACGTGGCGCCATCTAAGAACAATCTGCAGTACCAAATTACGTCAATGTGAACATATGATCGTATAAATACTACACACAAGATTTATTTTCATAAATCAATATATCAAAATTAATAAATGTCTATGTATCATTTTATATTCGCGTCTCATTAAAAATTAATTGATACTATATCCTTGTAGCAAATTATTATATTCCGTTTACTCCCGGAATGGCATAAAGTTCTTTATCTCTATACAAATTGAAATATGATGGAACGGGTTTCGTTCCAACGAATAACTCATCCAAGAAATTCCAGAGTCTTAATTTTCCCAAACCGCTCCTATCCCGCGGTAGGAGCTCGGGCTCTCCTTATTCGGCGAAGCAGTTGGATTATTTATATCGCAGCATGCGCTTTTCTACTAGGAGAATCAACGTCTTTCGTCGTTCGTTCCTTGCGAGAGACGAGACGAAGACAGGTACAAATCTACAGGACGACGTTTCCCGGGCGTACTTATCCCTCTGACCCCGCGACATTAATAACATTTCACGAGATCTTCTCGAATTCCTCCCGGTCTCCCTCCTTTTTCCTCCCTTAAGGACCCCCCGTCGAAAAGATCGCGTCACTGACGTGCATCCTTCGCGCGGCGATCCTGATGGATACGCGGGATTCGATGGGAACAAAAGGATGTTGGTTTAGCGTGGAAGGCGTGTTTGTTGTTTTGATGAGGTATAATGGGATGGATCCCGGGTGTTGATGCATAGCGCGTAGCGGGGTGCCGCGAGTCCCGGACCGGGGCCCTGTTCATCGAGACCCCCGTAGACAGGGGCCGCAACACGTCCATCACGTGTCACGATTATATATTTAGACATATCTCACTATCATCCTGCGTATTTCCTTTCTTCTTCGCTCTCTTTTTCTTCCTCTGTCTCTGCATCCTACATTTTTAAGTTCTCCCTCACGATTCATCGTCCTTCTTTACACTCCGCTTGATTCTTCGTCGCACAACTGTTCTGTCGCATGTTAATTGAGATTGTATCCTGCGTAGAAAAAAAAATCGATATTAAAAATTGATCTTAAATCGATCTTAAAAATTGATTTTGTTTGAAAAATAAGTTCACTTTAAAATAAGAAAGCTCAATATGTTTAAATACAGAATTTTATAAGTCATAAAAAAAGATTACAGTGTCTTTTACATCTTTGATTCAATAAAGAAGGCTTCGAAAAAATAGTCTTATTTGCGATTATTGTACAAAATACAAAAATTTAACTCACGTATTTATATTCGCTTTCCAATCATTCCTCCTAAGCTACTCCCTTTCATCACTCATCTCTTCAGCTCACTGTCCAATTTGTTGCGCCGATATTCTCGTCACCTTACTATTTCGTCCGATGATTCATTAATCGACCTCGTAACAACCTCCTCTCTCGTGCAATCCTCTTCTTCGCCACTGCGTGTTTCCTCGTTGGTCCCTATTGGTCCCGCTTGGGCGCCGCATATCGTTCATCCAGGATCATATTTCAACATTAATTTCCCGGATGGTGATACATCGTTCGCATCATCCTGGCCTCCTATCAGCCTGAAGCTCATCATCATCCGCGTCTCTTTTTTGCTCTCTCCCGTTGTCGTGCGCGCGTAAAGTTCTGTGCTTCTTTTTCTTCAGGGACGAATGGTGAATTTTCTGAAAATTTAATAATAAAATTAATAATTTTTCGAGGCTTTTCTGACAGAAGTATAATTAACATAATTAAAGCAAAGTTGAATGGAACGTCTCTCTTTGCATATTTTGTAAAAAGTATATAGAATGTTTTGCCTCTCTTAAATCTCAAGATCAAGTGTCACAAAATCTATTTGAAACAGAAACAAATAGAAATATAAATATATTGTACTTTTGTATACAAAAAATAAAAGTTGTGCAATTAATTAATTTTTTTTCATTATTCCTTTTCTTTGCAAGCTGTTAATAAAATAGTTTAAAAGCCTTGAAGCAAACTGCGTTGCATAATAATTCCATATATCTGATATATATTTCTGAACAAGATTATTCTAGATAAAAACTTGAAATCAGTTTCATTAACTTAAATCCATCCCTGCCCTTTTTGTTTTCATCTTCTTCTTCTCTGAATAATCATGCACTCGCCACAGCGACCCTCTCGATTGCTGGTCGTTAATATTGACCGCCAGGTAGTCTCTGTCGATTGAATTTTTTACCGTGATACCCACCGCGGAAGCTGTGGCTCGAACCGGTACCCCATTCGTGCTGTCGCTCCTTGAGAGTAACTGACATTCACCTTAAACGTCCACCATTCGTCATCGGATCCGCAATGCCGATACAAGTCGGCAGGAAATGACAGTATGATCGTGGTTGAGATTTTCTTTCTTTCTTTTTTTTACATTAAATTTTTTTCTTATAATTTTTTTAACTTTACTCTTTTGAATTAAATTTTGTGTTTTATATAACTTTTTTTTGTTTAATCCTTCGAGTCTATTGAAATATATTTCACAATGTTCGTATTTTTAAATATTTTTTGTATTTATAAGTAATAAATATATTTCAAAACTGTGGCAATGTCTTCCAATGTCTTTAAATTTTGTAAAAATACAAATAATGAGTGAAAATATACATTGTGAAGGAAAGAATTGAAAAAAATTACGCGCAAATCAAATTAATTTGCCAATAGAGATATACAAGAGCCTTATACTTTTCCTTATTTTAAAATCAAGCAAATTCTTTTCAACGTGTAATAATTTGAGAAGAAAATTATAATAATAGTAAATTATATAACATTTTTTTATGTAGATATAAAATTAGGAAAAACTTTGTTGTTTAAAAATTTAGTTTTAACTTTAAAATCATTAATCCTTTTTAAGTCAACTATTCAAATCTTTATGAATGATTAAATAATGTAATATTAAAAAAATGCTTATTAAAATTTACTATTAATACTTATTGATGATCAGCTGTTACTGATCTCATAATGCAGATATTTAAATATTTTAGCGAAACAGTTGATATCGTCTTCCTGTCTTTCTCTATTACGTTTGTCTTTTTATTATATTCAGAATATTTCTAAATGGCTAAAATTATCTATTTTAATATAATAATAGAAAATTTAATATAATAATAGAAAAAGACAGGAAGACAATTATGAAAAACGTCATACGTAAGATTTTTCTTAAACGAAAAATTTGGTAATATTTCCATTTGTATAGAGCACTGTTTATATAGACTAAAAATAAATACACTTCTTTATATGTATAATTGCGGTTCAAACTATTAAGCTCGTTAAGAACCTAATTGATCTTGGTGCTACTGAGATCCGGTAATTTAATTAAGTAAGATACTCACAACCAAATGATTCGCAGATATAGCTATACAATTCGCCTCGCTCTCTACCGCGTTGATCTCTCGTCGCTATTTCATTAATATCCGCATTCAGTGATTGGTAATTTTGATAGAGACGGATGTATCTATAGACAATACTGACATCGTAGATCGTAGACCGAACGTTAACTGTTCTAAGGATTGATAACACTGTAAAAACATAAATAATAAATGTGTCACAAATTATTTTATTTACATACATAAATAACGCGTGTAAATAAATGTTATATAAAGAATTAAAACGAATAAGCTAATAAGAGCTGGTGCGTCAAAATTAAAACATTCTATATAAATAAAGAGAACACTGCAATAAAGTCTTTTTAATTCCGATGCGCACCGATTCTTATTAGTCCATTTCCTTTAATCTTTATTTACATTAGTATTTATATTAGAACCTTTTTCTCTATCATAATAAATGTTATTCCTTAAAACAGTCTATGAACACATAGCATAAATAATAGCAGTAAAACTATAGAAAATAGTAAATAAAAATAATAATTAATAAATTAAAAATAATTTTGATTGTGCATTTAATTTATCTTATTTGATATCTTACGTATTTACAATTCTGCTTTTTCGCAGTCGAGTTATTATCGATAAAGGAACACACTTTTGTGTTTCTCGTAGTTTGAGTTTTCATAATGCAAGATAAATGTTTTATTTAAATATTATACTAGTTTAGCTAAAAGAAAAATTGTAAAAATGTATTCTCATTTTTATGATTTTTCTCTTTTTTTAAAGAATTTAATTTTACTCTTAACTCTCTGTATAAGCTTTTATATTTTGTATATGTTATTGCACTCTATTACAATCCTTTTGGCATCAATCAATATGATCATAATTTTATAACAGTTACATTTTCTCATTGCATACTAGAAAATTATTATTGCACAATTAATACGTATATAATTCATAAAAAATATAAGAACATGCTAAATTATCATTATCTTTTAAAATATCCTCAAAAATGTTACGATCATTCAAAATCATTGATTATTTTCATCGATTTAACTATAAAATTGTCCGAATGTCCATCAACATCATCCAATTCCTTCGAATAAAATTTCGCCGCTATCCTGGCACGTCCGTCTAACTTCGGTATCATAGAGAAGGTACATTCTGCGTCCGCGTCCACCTCGACGGGTTCAAATAGTTTCAGCTTCAATTGCTCGTCTAGACCGGGTCCTTCGATAAGGAATACACCTCTCTTCAAAGGAATTGGTAGTGGATTGCGAAACTTGGCCGAAGCGTTAAGAGTTTGACCGACGATTGCATCGTTATGCAACTAAATCACGAAATATAATTTTCATATAAAATGATGTATATGCGTCTATTACTATATCTATTTTCTTCTTTTAATCTTTCTTTTTTTTATTGACAAGAGTTTCGATAAATAATATGTGTGTATATATATATATATATAGTCAAATAATTACCGTAATTTTAATGTCGGGTTTTCTAACGCGAAAGTCATCCTGCGCGAAGTATTCGAAGTTCGTGTCCTCCACGGTAGCGAGACAGGCGATGTTGAAGGCGCATTGATCTAACAATCTCGGACCGTATTCCTCCCAAGAAACGTCCATGCGAATTTCCTCGAGCACTCCTGGTCGAACTAATCTGTCGATGTGCAATCTCTTTACCGGATCGCCCACCCGACCAGTGTACAACACAGTCTCCACTCTCAGAATTACGGACACGCGATACTCCATTATCGAATTCCGATTTTTAATCAATAATACGACACTGTCGAAAAATAAAAGAAAAATGTTTAATAAAAGCATTAAAAGCGATAGTCTTCTAAAATAAATTTTAGGGAAGAATAGATTAGAAAATTTGAAGAATTTTATAATTCAAATTGTATTATCACATTGTTATATTATTTAGAAAATATTGCAAACTTATTAAATTAATTTTATTAATAAACTACCTAAATGGCTGTCCGATTATGATGTCATCGCGCAATTCAAAAGTAAACATGACGTCGTTGAACTCCTCATTGAGATAGTAGCGGCTAAATAAAGATTCGCTTTGACGAAGCGCCTTTAGCATGGCAGCACGTTCTTCATCAGACTCTATTACGAGACATGATTCTTATACATATTCTTATAACTATTCATATTCATATTAATAACCAATTAGATGTGCATATTAATGTATTAGTATTTTCAATATATTTTCGAATTGTATTATAAAATTATTTCTTGATTAAATAATATAACGCTCTTTTTTATTGCACAATTTTTAAAAAAAATTAAAAATTCTCTTACTTTCTGGATATTTATAAGTGTGCGTGATGTCCTCCCTCGTCCACCTTCCAACTGCTTTCGTACTAATCAATTGACCAATGCTGTAATAAAATTACCATCATATAATTATTCAAATTAATTAGACTAATTATCAACGAGTGACATACATAATATTAACAATGTACGAAAAATATTACACACATACCCGTACATATCTTTGCGGACTAGTTTCAATGGCTGTGTAGGTCCGTTGTAACGCCAGAAAACCTTGTCGGCATTCACCTCGGCAAAGACGAACGCGTTATCGTAAGGACGTAGAACTTCGCCCTTCTTCACGGCGGTCACGGAGGCTGGTCCACAACGATACGCGCCTTCGCTCAGTTCCTGAGGAGTGGCATCGATCACTTGCCATCCTGAATAATCCGGTGACAAGTCCAATCGTTTCATCCACACCTCGTTCCAGACATGGAAATTCCTTTTACGATAAAAATTCGGATAATTTAAATAAGTGTCTTTAATTATTTATTTCTGATTTTTATCGAAAATAAAAATTTGTCTTCTTTTCCTTCAAATTACCATATCGAATCGCTGTTAAGCTCTTCCATGATCTTGCCCTCAGCATTCACAAAGTAGTCCACGGTCAAACTGCTCTGAGTATCATGCGCACTCGAGTAGTTGGTCACGACTCGACAAGGTATACCGAGAGTGCGACAAACTGTTGCCAATACGCCGGAGAAGACCCAGCATTGTCCGTACTTGACCGGTTTCTTCGTTTTGTAATATTCCTGAAGTATTTTTTGCGAGCCCATCCATCTCGTAGGTGGTGTGCCGCCGTCATAATCGTCCGACCAATTTCCCATCACTGCCCCGTTGTCATCGGGAGAATTCACCTAGAAACCGATAATGCATTAATAAAAGACAGTCTAAAAATTCTGATTTTTGCGCAACTTTATTTTATTTTTAAAAGAGAGAAAGTGCTTTAAAAATTATTTTTCGAAATAATTCAACGGGAGAAATAACTTACTGCGGCGGACAAACAACGCGTTATGACGATAGGATCGTTTCTGCCGGAAACTCGAACCTTGCCGACTTGGTTCATCAGGTGCAAGGCGCTATCCAGAATGTCCCGCTCGAATTGCGCGTACTTCCACACAGTGGGTCGCAAACGGTTACGACTGCCGCGCCAAATTAAACCATCCTCCGCCAGCACGTATTCCTGACGTTCAGCTTCATTTTCCAAATAAACCACGTCGTCTGAAAAGAAAATATTTTACCAAATTCGAGATCGCTAATATTGCAATTTTTTTAATCCCTCCTAGCTCCTTTATATAGTTGAGAATTTTTTCTTTCTTCGATAATTTAATAATAATTTTCTATGGAGTTAAGAATTTTATAAAAATTCAAAAAATTGCGTGATATATTGCTCGATATTATGTTCAAAAACAAAAAAAATTAAGCTATTTATGAATAAATACCTTCGCACCATGGATTACAAATTAAATAAAACGGATGATCCATCGTATAACTGACAGCCCCTTCAGTTTCTTTATTTTTGGTATCGATTTCCATTTTCCATTTGCCTATAATCGCATTTGCAGATGTTACAATCTAAAAGCAACAGATTTTATTAAGGAGATATTTTTTTTTAATTTTATACAAATATAATTACAAGATCATATGTTTATACAAAAATTAAATAATAAAAAATCTGACAAAATCTGCATATCAGCATCGTAACGCTTTCATCGACTTGCCTTTATCCTTAAGAAATTTTGTCCTCTAGCATCAATGCTGGTCTGCCAAGCAGCTTCGGAAATCTCTCCAGGATTGAGCAGAGCGGTTGCCACCAGTGTCCCATGTCCGTATTGCGGTCTTTCGATACCGTCTAAAGTGAAGACGATAGAAATCCCGTCGATGGAAGAAATATAGTCTCGAGATAGGCTGAGATGCAGATAAAATTCCTGACCACGTCTAACGATGAGTCTCGCTCTGTCATCGTGACGGTTCATCAGCTCGTATCTGGATGTTCGATGATTCTCGCCATTCTCTTCAATGCAAGGATCTACATTGTGGACCGTCAATACTGGAACGCCAAAATCTTCCCCTATGAATGAACATGTTTGAAAAAAAATTGTGTAATCAGTCATAATGCAATATAAAGACATGCAAAAAAGAATTATATTCCAATAGAAAATATAATAATAATAATTAAATAATAAATATTTGTAAAACTCTGGGAATGAGATTATGTCTTTGGTCGGTTGATAAAAAAAAAAAAAAAACTTCAATGATTAACACTTTTCATTTTTTCGCTATAGATGTGACAATTTAATCTTCTTCTGATTTAAATGTATTAAATAAATATGTATAATATAAAAACAAGTGCGTCTTGCAATTAAAAGATGCATTTTTTCTTTAAATATTACATTGTTTCTAATTTTTCGCGGACTCACAATAAAATCTAAACGGAAACGGTCGGGCACGCCGATCATTGAATATCCGGTAGCGATCGTAGAATCTATAAAACATCCCCCGACGATTAGGCTGCACCGGTTGCACCGGTTGCACCGGCTGCGGAAACGAACGATAAGCTGGATACATAGATGAGACCGAACGCGAGTTCGCTGAATGACTGAAGAGCTGATGACAAAAAGGAAGGAAGAACATGTAGTTTATGCTGCTGCGTTCTAAGAGCAATTTCAAGGACTAATGTGCTGCAACGCCAAACGCAACCATACATGGCGTCATCGGTGACACCCGCGTTAGTAGGAGAGACAGAAAAAAAGAGTCACCTACTTTTCATTCTCATTTCAAATCAAACGGCGATCTATAATTGCTGTCGATTATTGTATATTGTCGATAAAAGTCTTTCTTTAATTTTTTTAAACTAAATTAAATAAAATTTTATTAGACAATTTGCAGTGTTTGGAGAATGTCACAACAATTTCAATTTTTGTATTCTTTAATAAAATATTAAAATTTAGACCAATAATCATTTTTAAATAAAATTTTTTTATTTAATAAATTTAAGATTTTGAAATTATTGTAATCAAATTATACTCAAGAAAAGCAAAATTGCTATTAAAATAAATATATTTGATATAATATATCAAGTTAACAAATTATTAAATAATTTTATTTAAAACTGATATATTTATATGAAATCTATATAATAATATAATTATACTTTATGGATCGTAATAAAATAGACATTAAAAATTAACATCTTATGGCTATAATGACAAACCCACCGCTTTATACGCCTCATAATGCATTTAAAAAAATTATAATAATGCGTCATTCTTAATACTCATTGTTCTCATAAGTAGTCCAAAGTTATATTTGTAACTTACGCAAATTGCAAATGCCGAAGTAATGATATCCTTCTGTAACAACGCGTCATTAAACATAGCAATATGTGACTTCAAATATTAATTAACAATTTAATTTAAGTGTGTTCTTATTTTGTAAATTTCAGAGTTATAATATGCAATTTAAATTCTACAAATATTTTACTATTTTTTATTTAAAATTTGCAAATGTCTCCTTGAAATAAAATGTTGCAAGTATCATATAAGTTCTAATCATATATCGACAAATAAGACCACGAAAATTAGTTACACCTACAGAAATGTGAATAACGTTTCGTAATTTAAGGATTACACGCCTACGCAATCAATTTAACACAAGCCTATAATCATGCTTATTGAAAGAGTTATTACGACCAATTAGAAATTAAAGATGATCTATTATTAATAGAGTACAAAGATTTGCACCTCTTACAAAATCCCACAAAATAGAACGGTAAATTGATAATTAATAATCAGAAAAAATTATTAACCTGAATTGCATACAAATCTTTCAATAGCAAACATCGCTTCCTTTTACATTCCCATTGATTATTGTGAAATATCGTACGAGAAAGATTCCTGCATGTACAATTAAAATGTCGTAGTATACAAATAGTAAAATCAAAATTCATTTATATCTTAAAATATACATAATATAAAAAATATCTCAAAATTTATCTAACACCAACATTAATCAAACAGTGAAATATTACAAAGATATAATACATAAAATCAAAATTATATTGTAATAATTTATAAACAGAACTTTTTTAAAGTATATTTAACCCTAATAATTAATTAAAGAATTTTTCTCAGCGCCGTTGTTACTAATTGTTTAAAAATATTATAAATCACTGTAAAATTATATATTTTAGCTATTTAATTTTCATTTAACCGATTCAATCAACTGAACATCAATCAATGTAATTTTTATTCTCGTATACCAACTTATATATATTTAAACATAAGCAAGAAATTATTTTATCACCATCAACTTGTAATTACCATTTCTGATGTTACAGTTTAATATTCTAAAATCAATAGCTAATCAGTATCAATAGCTAATCAATAGCTAATCAATTTGCGGGATTTCAGGTCAAGTAAAAATCAAGTTTTACCATTTACGGAAAGACAAGGTGTGCACCGTAAAGTCAAAGCAATTTGCGACAATCACACACATTTGAAGAAGTGCCCTTCTTGTTTTAATACGTATCTATTACTCCCTATGCTGACACATTGTCATTGTAAGCAATTCATAAAAGTTACCCACTTTCACCTGCATAAATTAATCTCAAGGTGTTGCTTAAGACATAAATTAATAATTAATGCATTATTATTTAACGAAAAACGAAAGACTAATTCAACGATAAACGTACAGTAAAATTTATTTGAATAAAGTTTATATATGTAATTAAAAACGTAAATAATAATTTTTTTATAAAATATTTAATGCTGAAAATTAAAATATACGTGGAGACTGTAGCTTTGAGTCAGGTTTTTAAAAACAATATAAATGTTCTAAAATTACATATATCAGAGATAAACTCAATTTATATGATATATATAACAAAGTGAGATTAAAATAGATATAGGTACCTAATTAAAATCGATTCTTTTAAACTAATTCTTACATTTGTGAACATCAATGAAATAATATGACTGCTTTATAATTAACCAACAGGAATTATAATTATATTATTTTAAACTCTTTTACGTACTTATTTTAAGATGCAGTTTGAACAAAATAAGATTATGCAATTACTTGTTTTATTAGTAAAAATTCGCAAATAACAATACGCGCTCTAATCATCGTTATGACCCGTTTATTATTTCATCAGTCTTAATACGAAAATGATGATATTCAAATGACTCAATAATGGGATTCATATCACAGACATGTGCGTAAGGATATTGTATTTCCGAACAAAAATAACAACGAGAACTCGGCCAAGTATAAGATTGCTGCAGACTGACATCACTCGTGGTTTTTCGTCATAGATCGATTTTTTTTCGATCAATTTAAGAAATTGGTCTTTTTTAAGACAAAAAATTAATAAGATTAACGGGGTTAATAGTCTTATTTCGCGTTTAATTAAGCTCTATTAACGTGAAACCAATTTGAAACTAATTGTAAGTAAAAAATAAAGATCTATTAACTCTTTATTTAAAATGCTACTTTACATTACAAATTTTATTTTTTCAACAATAATAAACGTGGAATAATTAAGATTGAAAAGAATCTTTCATACGTTCTTACGATGCATTTATCATTGTGCACATGTATATGTCAATATACATATGTCATTCAAGAGATGCAATTATAATTCCTGTTGGAATGCATTTTACACACCTAAAGCATGCGCGAACAAGATACTCTCGGCGAGCAACTTGTTGATGCTCTCGTAGATGCATATCAAGATATCTTAATTAACTGGCATCAGAGAAACGCCGTCTTCTACTGGTATAATATATCCGCGTCGAGAAGCAAAAATCAGTAGCTTGTATGCATCACGTCGTGTATGCTATTTATACATAGAAGAGAATGAGTCAACGGAATAAGTTATCTAGAAAAGCGTGACTTAATGACGAGAATCCCCGATTGAAAGTCTCGAACGAGTAATTACGAAAGTATGAGAGAGTCGACGCAAAACTTTCATGACTAATTTTGCCGATCAACTTGCGATCCACGAAAGAAAAAGCTCCTTACATTTTCGTGCATTAAAACAACATAAATTATATTCATTGAAAAATTATTTTTTAAACTATTGAAAAACAGGTCCAGATTTATTTAGAATTATTCGAGTAAAAGTGCTGATAAAAACGTGAACTTATATTTCAGCGAAAATGACATCATCGCGCCGTTTGCATAATTTCCTTTTCATTCATGACAGCATGAGACTGAGAAATATTCTTTAATATAAATTCAAGAGCTAATTTTAGAAATGTGAAAGAATTATGTATGATACAATTTTTTCTCTTTAACAGAACATATTGATTTTTACACACTGAAGAAAGTTATTAAATCGTTCAACTGAATATTATTTTGTTAATTGAACATATAAAAATATTTAAATTAAATATTATATATTAAATATAACAAAACGTTTGATTTAAATACTAATACACATTCAATTAATAAAATGGTAATAATTTAGTTGAACGGTTCAGACAAGTTAACAATTTTTTTTCAATAATGCATAATTGATTAATATGCACATACACACATATCTTTGTTAAAAGAATTAATAGACATCGCGCATATTTATGCAGCGAAGAATAAATAATGTTTGAAACAAACAGATATAATCATATATATAGATTGTAGATACACTGATACAAAATGATCTAATGATAATGAATGATACAACCGTTTTAAATGTACATAATCTAAGACGTTACTGTTTAATGAAGGTCGGCGTTTCGCGAGAGAGACAGAAGTCAATTTCCCATCTGCTCCAGCATATATTTTCTTAAGCAGAGAACGATAAATCGCGAGTATGCTTGAGCAAAGAACAAATTACGTGTTACATTGATCGCAATTTGCGTTTATTTACAAATCGATCAGCTGCTTGTCAAAACACAAAGCTCCCTGTCAAGAACGTGAGAGAATATAATTTTCTTCTAATTGTAAATACTTTATTCTTACGTTTCTTCGCATTTATATTATTGAATTTCTTAAATGTTCTATATATCGCAAACGTAAAAAAATAATTGCAAATCTAGACAGTGAAAAATATACATTTGCCACTACTACATTTTATTTTGCAATGTTATATTCTTTCATTAATTTGAAGTTAGTATTTCATAACAGAATATCATCACCAAATTAACAATATTTGAGATTCGAGGCTACGAATACACGGATAAAAATCTTCACGCCTACGTATGTTAATTATATATTCATCTTTTGTCAATTATTTATTACTTTTAACTCTACCGCAATAATAAAATCACCGTTGACGTATCAAATTCAAAACGATTGCGATTTTTTTTTATTATAATTATGATAATGATGATGATGATATCATCATATATACAGGGTGTATCTAAATAAGTGCGAAAAATTTTAGATGATTCTTTGTCGAATATTAAGAAGGGTTTCTTATATATATAAATATCTCTTATATTATTTCCTGAGAAGTTACACTTTTTTAAAGAGGGAGGTAAAAATTCAGTTTTTTTAGACAAATTTAAAAAATGAAATAGAAAATATTCACCAGGTTTCATTTTTTTAATTTGTCTAAAATTTGAGAAAAAAGATAAAAACTTAATTTTTACCTCCCTCTTTAGAAAAGTGTAACTTCTCAAAGAGGAATATGAGTATATGTTTATATAAGAAACCTTCCTTAATTTTCGACAAAGAATCATCTCCTAAAATTTTTTACATTTATTTAAATACATCCTGTATAGTACAATATTAGATATTTGCTGTATTTTTCATCGTAATATCAAAATCATTTATTAAATTTTTCTTCACGTTTTCTTAGCATGTGTTATATTTCAAGCCTATGGAACACAACATCTTATCCCTGACCGATATTCTGAAAATAAGCTTTAAAGTATACCGGAAAAGCACTTTACTTCTTAACTAAATGTTTTGATTACTCAATCCTTTACCACCGCACGTGTTCAAATAAAGAAATCTCGTTATAGTTTAATTAACATATAATCCTTTAGCGTATTTATATTGTACAGTTAAACAAAATATAATTTCGAAACTCGTTTAAAAATCCATTTGTAAAATTTATAATTTATATACCAGTAATTTCACAAAGTGTTAATGAACAAAAGCCACCACATTTCTAAATAAAATCAGAAAATCGCAAAATAAAGAAGCTAAAATGTTTGTGCATGATAATTCACGATAATTCGTCTAATCTAGATGGGAAAATCGGAAGCTTTCATTAAATATTACATCTTGTATTATCTCGATCGGGCACGTACCTCCGTCACGATTTACTTTTAGACGTGCAATACGGGCCGCATTATTTTACGCGTTCGTGATTCATGTCGCGCAGACGTTCGCCTCTTATCTCCCCGTTTTATATTAATTGATTTTCATCCCGCCCTCGCGCGCGAACTCCGTCCTCAAAGGGTCAATTGGCTACGTGTCAGGGCAAATACATCTCAAGATGTACCCCTTCTCTTTATCGAGATTCATTTAATCGTGAACTTTGCGAAATCTCGTTTGGCAAAAATGACGAAAGGTCATTGAATGCAATTATTGCATCAATTACAACTTTAAAATTAAAAAAAAAATATCCTATTCAATTAGCTTTAATAATATAACAATGATTATCTATCTACTTTAATTTTTAAATTATATATGCAATGAGATATATTAATGACGCATAAATTAATTATAGCTTTCAATGAAACATATTAAATACGTAATTATTTCTATTTCTGTATCGACGATCGTCTCATTTTAACGATGCGAGATAAAAGGTCGGAAATCTATCGAGATTTTATAAAAATTTATCATGTTAACAAGACGTAAATTCAAGCACGCAAGAACTATATTTCGAACGGGGAAACAAGTAAGGCAATATTCTTATCTCTTTTCCAATTTTTAACTTTTCTCTTACTGCAATCCAAACTTTCGGTAGATATGCAGATAATCGTAATCTCGCAAGAATATTTAGCTGCGCTCGCCTCGAGAAAACATTAAAGACATAATCTATTCGAAAAGTTATACTCCTCTCTCAAACTTTTAATCAACATTAATAATAGCGTTATAATTAGAATTTCTTCAGTACGAATGTAATGCAATACGTGCATATGTAATAATATTACAGCGTTCACTTTAACACACAAAAACTGTTATTATATATCATATACATATACACATATTGCATTTAATTATTTTTTTTAAATGCTATAATTTTCCATATTTTTATTGCTAATACATTTAATTAGCAATTAGCAATCATTTTAACACAAGATTAACTTACCAGGGCCAATAGTTGTAGGCGGTCGTGGTATCTGCGGAGGTCTGATATGTTGGGGCCTGAACACGGCTCTGAATCCGGAAAGACACGAACACGAGCAATATTTTTTCATCATTTTAATAATCGAGAGGAATGCAGACGTTATCCGTAAGTCTTCTATGTGGTCTCTTGATCCATATACATATGAATCATACCTATAAAAATAAAAATGTTGTGTTTAATTAATTTATTTATTATTTTACAAATCTTTGACAATTTTTTTTTATTTTATCAATTGTCAGAAAACAAGCATAAAAAATATAAAGTTACGCATAACTTAAATATGTTTATAAATAAGAATCACTATAAAAAAATTAAATATTTCTAAAAAACTGAAGGAAAATATAAATTTCAATGCAATAATTAAGTCTAAGTAAGTCTCAAACACACATTTAATCATGAACAGTGAAAACGGAGACCTTTAAAACGAGATACAAATGACCCATTGATTCATAAGTATAATAAGAGTAGTATTTCATAAAGAAAAATAATACAAGACCAACTTACCAGCAAAAGAATAGAGATGTGATATAATAAATTCAAATTTATTTATAAATCATGAACTTAAATTCTTACATAAAATTAAAAATTTGAATATAAATTTAACATATATAAGACAGGCAATAAGAGCCAAATCGCGGATGACAGTGCGTTATCCTAAACGAAAAATTTAGTTTCGTTTAGGATAACGCACTGTCATCCGCGATTTGGCTCTTATTGCCTGTCTTATATATGTTAAATTTATATTTAAAAATTTGAACTTAAATTCTTTACATAATTTTAAGTTCATGATTTATAAATAAATTTGAATTTATTATATCACACCTATTCTTTTGCTCGTATAAGTTGGTCTTGTATTATTTTTATTTATTGCGTTGTATAATACGAGTCTCTTTGCTTTTTGAATTTCACATAAAGACATTTATATATACAATTTTACTCAATCATGAAATATTTCATCGTGTGATATTTTCAAACAAAAAAATTAAAATTGAAAAATATTTTTGCCATATTTCATTATGATATTATTTTAATAATTTTTATTAAATAATTTTTAATCAAATGTTTTATGTGCATTAATGTAATAAAAAATATAATATATACAAAAATATAAAATATAATATATACAAATAAATGTGATATGTACAGCTTTAATTGTTATCTTACAAATTTACTAAAAATTCATATACATATTATACATACATATATAAAGAAAGAAAGGGGCTTATTTACATATTTTTAGATTTAAGAATAGATGTGGTAAATGATTTTTGTATATTTGCAAATAAATTCATAAAGTTTTCAATAATTGTAAACTATAAATATTAAAATTTTTTATCAAATTACTTTTATCAAATAAATGTACATATAATTTTTCTATGATTATATCTAATATCTTTGAAATAAAATTGATAACTGCGTACCTGCAAAACACACAATCTGAAGTATTTTTCTTTCACAAATAACGTTGCACGTGTCACGTCACTATGCACATCTCGAATGCGTGTGTGCGAGATGATTGAAATAACGTATTAGTCTCCGTGCTGGTTGTCGGACGACTGTCAGTAAGAATCAGCTGCAGTGAAGCAAACGATAGTATATCTCCCGCCAACCTTCGGTTAACTTTTAGGAAAGACGGCTAACAGTAATGATATGCGAATATGTTAACGTGGGCACTGTGAATTGTGTACCTTGATATGTATTTACAACGATCCAATTGCAGTATATATTTTTCTGCGGTGGATGCTACGCTCGTTAATTACTCGATTATATAGCTGCTTAGTTTTTTATTTGTTTTTTATTCTAATCATTTGTAAAACACTATAAATACACGTAACTATTTCCCCTCTATAGGTATAATTATTATACAGATAAAGAGGGATTCTTTTTATATGCATAGTTTTCTTTTATACAAAGTTTTAAAGTTTATTTTTGAATAAAAGAAAATCGATATTATTATGAAACAAAATATTAATTTAAATATATTGCTCATTATTGATATTAAAAAGTAATAATGAAAAAAGTTAATTACTTTAACTTCTCTTCTTTAAAGATATTTTTACACGTTAACGATATTAAAAATAACAATAAAAAAAGTCAAATAATTACTGTTAAATTTTCTTATTCTTTAGAGACATTTTTACGTATGTATACAATATATATGTTGTATAATATAAGCGTAATAATAAATTGACATAATTTATGATAATGTGAGGAGAGAACAAGTTGTATTATTATACGACATGTCATATCATATGTATATATTAATTGTAATTAATAATTATTGACGTCTGATAACGTCTACATATACACTGTTAAACGCACATAAACTCGTGACGGCACGAGTAAATGATAATGCAAGGATAATGCATATTTTTAGCGTCCACGTAACATGTCACATAAGAATTTGTTCTTCGAATTTCGTAACTCATTCAGTTCCGTTTCCGTGGCGAGAACACGCCACAATATGCTGCGAGCCTTCCTCTAATCATCATTGGAATCGAAATTAGGGTAGAAATATATAAAATGACAATTCTTTCTCTAAATTCTAACTAGATAGTTTGTCACACATCAATAAAAAAAATATATATATGTTATATATAACTATAAGAATGAGATTGTAAAAAAGAATATTGAAATTTTTTAAATTGCTTTTTAAGTTTTATACTCTAATAAACAATGATTAATCAGCATTTAGCAATTTTCTGTTATTCCACTCTAACAAAAAATTAAAAAAATTAAAATAAAAAATGTAAGTAAATAAAATAAACCCTATATGTAAGCAGAAAAGACCACTTGTATAAAACATTCATATAAAGGTTACATTACCTACATACATGTACATACATATTAACAATATACAAATAATATATAAAATATTATTTACATATATCTCAATATATATATTATATGATAAATAATATTCAATGATCTTTTTTTCTCTCTTATAAATTAATTAAAATCTAATATAAATCCTTATTTTGCTGCATATCTGCAACATCTTCATTAGGTTCTATTTTAATTACCCCAAAATGATTCACCATAACATATAAATATGAATATTCATATTTATTAGATTCATTCTGTAATTAAAATAGAATAATTCTATAAATATATATTATTATTTTCACAAATCCAAACTTACTTTCTTTACTTCTGCAAATGCTGTTCCACGTCTTCTTGTTCCTTCTAAATAAAACTTCAGTTTCATATATTCGATACCATCCTTAATGTAATACATATGACTGAAAAAAGATAAACAAAAGAAAATATATTATTCCAAATATTGTTTATATTCTTAAAATAATATTTAAAGAACTGTTTTATACGTATTTAAAATTATAAATATTCAAATATTATAAAATATCAAATATTGTCAATTTTGATACTTTAATAAAGTATCAAATTGATCAAATAATTGATATAAATAGTCAAAATTCGTTATTTATGTAAGAGTGCACAAATATATATATAAAAGTGACTGATATTTTATATATATTTTAAAAAAGTTATTGAGCATATATATATGTATATACCTGATACGTCTCCTGCGTCTACGATTTGTTTCATCCCCGTAAGCCTTTATAGGAGCTCCAAGCAAGTCTATAAGTTTTGGATGTTCCATGCAACGTATTCGAGCTTTGCTATAGATAGCATCCACACTTTCACTGGAGAATAATTCAGAAAATAAAGTATACAATATGAGAGCCGTAATTCCAATGCCACTTATTATGATTCCTAATTGTCCAGCAGATTTCAGGTTTTCTTTGACTGAAAAAAAGACAAGAAAAACATATATAATATGTATAATAATGATATAGATCAAGTGAAATTTACCTACCTACTTCTGCTGTACCAATCTGTACCTTGTTGTCGGTTTCATTGGATTCAACGTTAGTTAAAGATTTCTTCGTTGAATACCAAGCATTGTGTTTAGAGATAACACTAAGACTATATGTATTTGGTATGATTAAGTATCTTTTTTGAAGAATACGACTTAATATTATTGATGCCATAATATTTATATGTATATATATAAATGTATATGTATTAATATTAATAATTAATATAGTAAAAATATACAAATTTATATATGTGCAAATATTTAAAAAAGAATATTTCACAAAATTTATATTAAATTTTCCAAAAGAACTTATATTGTTTAATAAAGATTCTTTTGAAACTAAATACAAACTAATCGATGTACAATAATATTCTTCTTTTCGGCCATCAGCTGATATCATATTCAGATTATATCAGATTATATTCAAATTGTATTGTTTTCATTATCACGCGTTGTTAACACTTGTATGACAATAAGATCAAATTTACATACTAATACTCGAAAAATATTACTAAAAATAAACTTTCAAAACAAAGTGCTGCGCAAGAACCGGAGAATTCGTGTTGACATATTTTTTTTGAATTATGACCGTTTGAGAAAAATACTTTTTATATATATCATATATATAGATTAAATATGTAGAAAGTATCTTCAATATCCTATCAGAAAGGTAACCGAATAAAGATTATTTTGGATTCTTGTTTATGTAACAAGCAATCAATGTCTTGGACAAGTTTAAGAATTGAAATACCGGCTTGAACTTTATTGATCCCTCCAGAAATACTGGGATTAAAGTCTAGTAGTTGAATAGTTTAAGGTTAAAGTGGCAAAATAAGGTCCGATAAAGATTAAAGTATCACTTTGAATTGTTATCTAACATAGAAAATAAATAATTTACAGAACAAAGGAAACGACAAATTGAATTATTTAATAAATTGAGATTAATGAAGACTGCACTACATCAGAGATTAGTAATGGTAGGCGATCGCGATGGGTAAGTATATTATAAATAAACATATAATAGTCAATTGCTTAAATTTTGTTTACAAAATTAAAATTGCTATCTATATTATTTTTGCAAAATAACAAATATTCTCAGCAACATGAGAAATACTTTTACAATTAACTCTAACATTTTTATCACATAGCTAATTATATAAAATTAATAAATAAATTGTGAGCAGATTCTATTAAATGCAATCATTGTTCAATAATTATAGTATTGCATTGAAGTGTTTTCTTATTTCTAGACTAAAAGAATTATTGAGACGTAGGCTGATTGAATGTGGATGGCGAGATCAAGTAAAGTTAATCTCAAAGGAATTGATAAAGGAACACGGTCATGACATTACTTACGATACCTTGTTATCAGCAGTGACAACCAGAGCTCGGACACTCGTACCAGATTCTGTGAAGAAGGAATTATTACAGAAAATCAAGAATCAATTGGTAGCTCAAGAAGAAAAACTTAAGCTTGTGACAGATCATTAAGAGCTCCAAAATTCATTTTTAAATTTTGCACAATTTTTATCAGTACATTTATACTGACATACAGTTGTGATAAATGTTTTCACAACTTGAATTTATAATTTCTTGTCCAGGGTTTTATAATACTTAATGTTTTACATTAACAATAACAAAGAAATAAGTTCAAAAGTCCAAAATGTGATATTTGTGTATCTAAGAGTTTATTAGTCTATATTTTTCAAGAAATGTATAAACGTCAATAAAATATAATTTTATTTTCCATTAAAGTATATATAAAAACCTGCGATAAGTTAACATCAATACAAGAATTTTTGAATAAAACAAATCTATGATAATTCAAAAAGAGTATACACAATTTTATACCTATTAATACCATTCGTTACCAATAGACGGCGACACGTGTACACTTGAAATTGGGTTAGGTCGGTTTGGATTAATCCTTCAATAATAACCACACTTTTTGCCGTTCAACTTTACGTTGATTTTTTTATAGTGTCGACAAGTTTCAGCCGGTGATAACTGAAAACTGCAATAATTTAACGTACACAGCGATAGCGGAAAGATGTTGATAAAAGTGAAGGTAATTTTGCGGATCCGACAGATTCGCTGCGTCATAATTCACCGGTATGTTATAACATTAATTTTAATCTTGTTTCAGACTCTCACTGGAAAAGAGGCAAGTATCTCAAAACTAAAGAATTTTGTCAAATCAAATGATATATCGTAGTTGTTGCGAAATGAGTATTCAAAATTAGGTTAATTTTATTATTACAAGAACTATTGGATACTCTTTGTCGATGAGAACAACAATATTCTAAGTCTAAGTCTATTATCTGAAAAAGCGTTTATTTTGAGTCCTTGAAAGCCTTATATTTTTTCATAAATAGGCACATAATCTTACTTATACATGCACAATTAGAATGTGTTATAAATTTTAAACCAAAGTATTGATTTACAATATCATTGATAACTTTAGGATACTAATAATGTTGTTAGGCAAAAATGAATACCATTAAGATTGAATATCTTATCACCTAGAAATAACTAATTTATATTAACTAAAAGAAAATTGTCAATATGTTGAATTTTTTAATCATTGAGAGTCCTATCTCATTTTAATTATTTTTTTTAAATATCATTTTTAATAGATCTTGGATGCAAATTTAATTACAATAAATAACTATATTTTTAATAAATATGTGTGTATTTATAAATTGTAATCATGTAATTCTTTTAGATTGAAATAGATATAGAACCTACTGACAAGGTAGAAAGAATTAAAGAAAGAGTAGAAGAGAAGGAAGGAATACCACCACAGCAACAGCGATTAATATTCTCTGGTAAACAAATGTACGTATAAATATTTACATATTGTATGTATATGCATATATTTTATACATGTATCAGTTTTATTTCACAAAATCAAATTTCTGTAGCTTGCAATTCATACTGATGATATAACAAACGCAACAGTAATAGGATTCTTTCTTTGAGTCTTTCAATATATATACTCTGCATTTCCTCATAGCATTGATTTACTTACTATATGATGTGCTTTGCTGTAATCTCTATTTCTTTAATAATATCCATGCTGCTCTTAATGGATGCTTTATACTTGGTTAGATTTTTTAAATAAAACAAATATATATATATATATATATGCATGTATAAAATCATGCTTGTTTTTTAATCACGCATTTTCTTTTAAATAAAAAAATATAAGATATATGGGTTAATTATGTTAATTTTTTTATATGTTAAAAAAACTATTTTATTTATATATAACATTATTGAGATTCAAATGCAAATAATAAACCTGAAATTAATACGAAATATTGTATTTTTATATTAGGAACGATGAAAAGACGGCACAAGATTATAAAGTCCAGGGCGGTTCAGTGCTACATTTGGTACTTGCATTGAGAGGAGGCTGCAATTACATTCCTCGTTTATAAATGAACAGGAGACGATATTAAATAAATGTAAGATCAATAGGCAAAAAAAAACTGGAAAAACAGCATGTTCATCGCTGATGTATGTGCATCTGCGCTCAAAGAAAATCTATGTTATTCTATGTAATGGAATAACGTAGAACATACGTGATCTTTATAATCTAAATAAATATTTAATAAAATATAATTTAATCGTAAAAAGATGACAAGTGTTTCTATTTCAAAAATTAGTTTTTCATATAACAAAAAGTATAATATATATGTGATCTTTGTTATTTTCCAGTTATTTTTTAAATTACATTTTATGATTATTTTCTCATGTTAGAGATATTATGATATGAGATTCAAACAATGACTTACGATTTTAAATTTAAAGAAAGAAGTCATTAGTAAGAAACAGTATAACCTTTTATGAATGTTTTAATTATAACAAGTAATATATAAAGGAAATAAGTAGATGCAAAACATCAAGTATATAAAACATTATTTATTTTTCTTCTGTGTTAATCTAATAATTTTGCAGAAAATATAATTTTGACAAGAAGAAAATAAAAAACCGGATCCAAATTCTATAGAATTTAAAGATTGTTTTCTATGATTTTAATAAATATTCTACATATTCGATGAAAATTAATATACTAATTAATAATAGTTTATTACAATTACTTTTCCTTCTATCTTATATCTAGTCTCTCTACATTTATATAATTTAAAAATCATATTTATCACTTTATAAATAAATAATTTTTTTTAACAATAGGATGCTTTGTCAACATACATATCGTTTTTCCTCCAAATTTTCTCATTAAGTTGATGAAAATAAATGCCGCAAAGTTAATTATTTTCACGTAAACTATTAAAATTGAAAATAAAACGAATATTTGCAGGAATATAGAGTTGAGATATTCTGAATTACAAAATGTGATGTAACATTATAGTCGTATTTCGTGCGAAAATCGGCGATTTTCTGGTCAGTTTCTGTGGTATCTGCTATTATGTGTCGCCCGGCTCCACTTGGTCTTGAAGACGCGCTGACAAATGTTGCAATAAACCGCGGAGTTAGGAGAGTCCTCGTGCTTGGATGTGATGTGTCGCAGAAGAGCGTGCTGTGTCGTAAATGTAACTCCGCACTTGTCGCAATACGACGTCGGCGTATGAACACTCCTGCTCGGCGCTGTCTTCAACGACTCTAAAAATGCATTCTTCGATTTACCTAAGTGAACTCTGTACCTACATGATAATCCGACTATTATCCTTAGATGCAATAAATATAAGTAAATTTGCAATATCTCGGGGAATGCATCTATATATCTATCTCTATTAAATACATTAGAGTTACAACAATCGGAAAGCAGAGAATTCTGACGAATAAATATGGTAAAATCTTGTTCCTTCGTTCATTTCAAGTGTGACTTTTTTAATTATAGATAACAAATATGATAATATTATATTAAAAAGATGGAGCGTTGTTTCTGTCTCAAGAATGTTAAATTCTGTATAAAAAATGAATAGTAATATTAATGTATTTCTCTTAACAAAGACAATAATGCTACGAATAGCGATATTAATTTATACAAGCACTAAATCATTTCTATATTAAAAAATATGACATCAATGTCTCTCAATAATTGCATAGTTAATTTCGCTAGAATCGCTTTTAAATTGCCTCGCTTCATCATTCAATGTCATCCATTCCAAAACTTTATCGTGCACTTGCAAGTACATTAGTAATTCGTTCTGTTCGCTTTTAAAATAATGGAAAATGTGTAATATATACATAATATACAATTTCTACTACCTGTTCATTATAATGAGATTCCATAAAAGTCTTGACTGATCATCATTATCTTGTGACTGGCGTGAATTCGTGACGATTCTTTTGACGTCGCCGAAAATTAAAGGCAAACTGCAAATTGCATAATTTTCGTCGAGAAATAACATAAATACGATTAATCGCTCTTGCTAAAATAAATTTTAATTATAATAAATTTTTATATTTATTAATGTATTTGAAATTAAACTATTAAAATAGATAAAACTAACTGAAGAATATAGAAAATATAGAAGAAAATTTATAAAGAAAGGAATTTATTACAATCCTTTTAGGAATAATTAATTAATTGGGAATAAAACAATGCTATGTGCTAATTATAAATACTAATTTCCGAATACACGAATATATCCATCAGAAATTCTTTTATTTACATTACTGGGATAACATCTGAAAGCGTATAGTCTTACACGATCTTTTAATTAAGTTACAAGCTCACAATTACGATACCGAACGTAACACCTGAATAGAGAACGCAATGTTTCGTGCTACCGACAATGGTGTCTCATATCTAATTAATTTCTAAACCCGCTGCGACTACATATATTCGCTGTCTTCTTCTTACAAATGATTAACCCATTCGAGACGAGAGACGGATGATTAGTTCATTATTACTCTGACGAAACATTATTTTTTGAGATCCTCGTTTGAATAATATGGTAGATTTTTTCGAAACAGATTTCGAAATGGTAACTTTAGAGTAAAACTCGAAGGGTTAAATAGCTTTTTTAGAACAGCTTTCTTGATTTTTCGCAAAATACTTACGACAGATTCTGCCAATAAATTTCTAGGATCGATAAAGACAATTAAAAAAATAATTTTCTTAAGAATGTAATGCGCAAAGTTTTTGTTTCGATTATTGGAATTTAATGATAATGTATACATTAATTTTTAATGATTTAAATATCATTAAAAATTATATTAGGTATTTTGAAATTTTCGACAATTTTTAAGAAGTTTGCGATGCAAAATTCATGATATTAATTTTTTTTGAAAAATTCTTTGCCTCGTATGTCCTTATCACTCCTAGAAGTTTACAGGTAAAATTTTGTATTCGCTGTATATTAAGTTTATTCATGTTTATATATTCTTTGTCAGTACTAAATTCTGTTACATCTGTTTTCCTAAGATACTAATTACCTGAATCTTTGCATCAAAACTTTAACGTCAAACACATCTACGCAGACCGAACCATATTTCGTATATTTCTTGTAAGAACGAAGATTTCCTCCTTCATTTCGCTGTAATTCGCACTTCATATCTCATCTTATGTCCTAGTAATTTTATATTTTCATCGATCTTATTTTTATCTTCGTTTATCTTCGCTTCATTATATCAAGACTATGACACTTTGCCACTTTAGGATTTTCTATCGAAATTCATCTTAATTTTTTTTATGTATTTTATATCTTTTTCGTGTATCCAATCTGTACAATTTCTTACTTTTGAAATACAGATCGCGATTTATCTGTTGCAGAGATGCTTAAATTTCGTTGCGAAGTCTTCATTTCTAAAAAGATATGTTTTGAACGTATTTGTGTATTTTAATTTTTTTTTTATTATCCTATATTTTTCTCTTTTACAGCTGTAAAGATAGAATATTACTTTGTGACACACGAAGCACAGCTTATAGAGAGCACAGCTCTCTTCTGCATATAAAAAATTAATTTATTCTCGTATATGATTTCTCTGCAAAAGAAGAAACATAAAATTATTAGTGTAACATTTCTTAATAGAGAATTAAGATTAATTTCGCAAAGTTTGAGAATCCCTGATACAGTTTCGCCGCGATAATCACGTACGGCTAAAAATACTTGTACACTCTTTCACGGCGGTGGCTTTGTATATTAACCCATTAAAAGCCAACTATTATTAACGATGGAAATTGCAACTGTCGTATTATCTATATCGTTTGATTTGGGGTGTTAAAAACACGATTAACTGCATCTCGCAGCGCGAGAATTTTCTTCTAAATGGCATTTAATGAGTTAAAATGAGGCATTCGTTCTAGAGACGCGCGATGACGCGCATTCTCGTGCTACGATCAACAACTATACGATAATTTTATATACGATCACTTATATATCTACGAGTAAATAGTCAGGTGCGCAAAGTGCGATGTCACTCTCGAAAATGAAACGAAATGCGGACGCACGCACAAATGCGTCGTATACTCGCGATTATTGTACTACTTTGTTGCATAACACTCTTGAATGCGCTCGCTAAAATAAGGTATCCCCGCTTGCGAAATCGCTCCCGCACGCGTGTGTATGTGTAGATTATTTATTTAATAACAACAATAACGGTAACGGTGAGGCTTTATTCAGATCTGTCTTTGGATACATGCAAACGGTCGAAATCAGCGTTTCCCTATTAAATTCTATATCAATCTCTTAAAACTATACGTAGCATTTTATAAAGTATAATAATCTCGCTTAAAAATAAATATTTCACCATTTTTTAAATCGTATACTTTCTATTATATTACGAATAATTGAAATATAAAGTATAATATGGATTCTTCAAGCGTTTGTATACATATAAAAATTAAATAACAAAGAAATCACAATTTTAATTAAAATTTTCTAAAATTACAATTAAACAAATTATAATAAATAATATATAACGAGTTTGATAAATATTAATATCTTCAACACTTGATTGGTTTTTGCTTAAACATAAAATTAAAATATAAAATTCTTTACGATACTGATATAGAAAAACGCTGCTTCCGCACTTTCATACAGAGACAATGTTTACACGAGGTCGATAACAAAATTAACAGCTACTTTCCGGATGCTCCGCATCGCTAGATATATTCTTGTCTATGGTAAATATCTGAAGAAGTCAATACGTAAACTGTAAAATCAGGTATTTGTATGTAAGGCACTGTCTATGCGCTGTCTTGACAGCTAAAGCTGAGAGGCTCGATGTATACTTAAAAGCTTCACTATCGAGAGCTGTACTATATCTCGTACTTCAGTATTATTTTTTATCAGAAAATCTTGTCTTTATAATTATTTCTTTTTAATTATAAAGGAAGTGGTTGCGTAACTGCTTTGCATAAATTAGAATGACTAAAACGATGGAATCCATTTGGAGATAATGAGAATGTCGTCGCGATCGAATAAACCTTTCTAAGCTTACACCGAGCCCAAGAATCGTTCGCAAAGAAATTTCGGCACATGGCATATATAGATAAACGTGTAAACATAGTCCGTGTAACGTGTCAGGGGTCGTGGCTGCGGAACGAGGATTATTATTAACGTTTACGGAGCAATGTCCTGCGAGGACATAGCAGCCGCAAGAAATAGAGAGAGAGAGAGAGAGAGAGCTTCCGGGTGCATCGAGGAGTATCAAAAAATAACTTCGATTTGTTATAGAGTCCTGTGTAAACGAGCGATAGAGATCTCGATAGTCTAATGTCTCGTACAATAATGACTAGAATCTTTTAAGACCGCCGATTCTCATTAATCCGGAGGAGAGAGGTGACTCTACAAAACTAGCCAGGCTCTACACGAAACTTTTCGCTGTATCGAAGAAATCCTTACAAGCGCGAGGATTTTTTTACGCGAAGTTTATTCAGCATAAAAAGCCTCGGAGAAGATCCTTTTATATAAAATCTGCCCTATATGAGGATTCGCTATGGTCTTTTTTAGATCGTTGCATTTTGCGCTGGAGGGAAGATCCTGTAACGTGTACGAAATCCTGGCTTCGCAATAGAGCCACCTCCGTTCATCGGTGACGTATACGACACTCAGATCCTTAAATACGTATCACTTAATTCTCGTTAACACGCCTAAAGCGTAATCCGCTAATGTAACACAATCGCTAACTGCGTTAATTGCACACTTAGCGAAGATAAATATGCGCGTACGCGGCAAAGCTAGACACATCAATTTTTTTTTCTTTTTTTTTCTTGCGGAAACGGACCAAGTGGACCGTGTGCTGATAATTATTATTATCAAAAGAATAAAACACGAAAACGTCAACTCCGTCCCGATCGTCTCTCTCGCAAAAACAAACATCAAAGCGCATCTATTCGCTACCTTTCGGTAAATTAGTAATTACAGAGTGTATCTGAAATATATAGCAATATATGTATATTCTAGAGCCGTGTTTTCTTTCTCTCTGCGAAGACAAAATTTCTTCATTGCTACCTACGTCAAATACATTCTGTCTAGTTTCACCACGGCAAGTGAACGGAATCGATGAACTTTAAATTAAATCGGATTATAAATATATATACACGAATCGCACGTGTAATTATTTTTACTCGTTATAAATCAGCTCTATCACTTCGATCGCCGAAAAATACATTTTATCTTAATATCTCATTGTATCTATTTTAGGACATGAATTTTTTATTCTGGTTCGCTCTCCGATTTCATTCACCCACCGCTTTTATACTCGTTAAATGTAACAAATCTGCGAATCGCTGACGATTCTACGGATTTCAACGTATCTAAATGCGTCATCAACAAAGATGCATAATATATATATTTTACGATTATATAAATATTTAATACTTCAGTAGAAATCTATCGTATTAGCCAGACTTAGAGATCTTTGAATAAATTATATTCATGTTTAGATAATTACATTGTTACTCTTATTGAATCAATCTGCTCTCGTATAACAACAATCGAATTTAGTCTGAGAACAATGTAAAATTATATACGTAAAAAAATGCTGTATATATTTTATTTGTTTGGGAAGAAAAAATGTGGCATGCAAGATCAATGTCTCGCGCTATGTTTGTTCCATCAGATTTGACAATAATTTCTTTACGACACGATTTTAGCACAACAGTAATATTTGTTTCAAATTTTCAATTGATGTATTTCCTGAGGAGAGCGTATTTTCTCCGATGTGTCAAATATACACGCATTAATTATTATCGAGAAGAAACTAGTAAGAAAAGGTGCACATAAGTTTTTCATTGCGAGAGCCTCGTTCTTACATCTCTTCGTTTGAAAAAATGATAAATGGCTCGGACGATCGTCATCTTAACACTATCATCAAATAGGCGCAACCTGCAATGCTTTTTTTTCCAGAAGAATTAATTCGAAACACATCAGTTTGTAATTGAAAAATACAAGCACTTATTTCTCTGCTACTTTTTATACAAATTAATATCTTGAAATTAGAATCTCGCGCGAAATATCTTGCGAAGCGAAATTAAGTTCAAGTTATTAGATTATAAAAACATGGAAGAGAGAAATTCGAACGCGTAGTATTAAGGTGACGAGGGGCACCGCCGCGATCGACACAGGGAGAGATCTCGCATAAGCAAACGCGGAGCCAATATCTGGCAAAAAACTCGCCAGGTCGATGGACATCTGTCATCCCTCTCTCGCGAGAGTGTGCGACGCGCGATTATCTACGAATCCAATTCGCTTTTCGGGCTGCGCTGCCTGTGGATCGTTTTTTGCAAAGGTATTTGGTGTTTCAGACGCATGTGACGCCGCAGGTCGGTTCTACGACTGAGAGTGGTGTGGCAGACGATGCAGGTAGTCTGGTTGCGATGCACTTCGAGGTGCTGGGTCAGCGAGGCAAGGTGCCTGTAAACGTTTCCGCAGAGCCGGCACGGAAAACGCCCCGGGCCCTGCATCACCACCTGACCAGTTGTATCGCCAACGTGCTTCCGATTGCGTCCCACCCCCCCTGCAACACATTAACACAGCCACGTGACCCGCCGATTCCTCATCATCAATTTTTATCAACGGAATCACGGAGTCGGGAAGGAGGAGACTTACAGGGCACGATGAACGGGAAAATCTAGGAAAGGAGGAGAGGGACACGGTGGTGACACGTTAACACAGGCCATTCATTGCGAGGGGATCGTCAGTCGATTACTGGTGAGACTTTTGCTGAACGAACTGTGTGAAAGACCTCGAAGCGCGAATCCTTCAACCCTTTATTTCGCAACTCTAGACCAGATCAATCTGATAAGCCACCACTATCACAAAATTCATTATAACGTTGAGTTGTCTCGAAAATTTGAACTTGTTATTTCAATTGCAAATTGTCATCGTGAAATTGATATACTATTACAGGAAAAGATCGCCAATCATGTTTGGTAATCACGTAAGAGTAACTTTTGCTGTGCTCTTTTCGACTTCCTGGCCTCATGGGGGGAATCGGGTGAAATTATCCCGCAGGTAAAGGGTCAAGATCGCGCGATCTGCTCCAATGTGTCGAGGAACGCGCGATAATGATTAATGATTCACATTTTAATCCATATTCGATGTGGGGTCAACGTGCACTGTATTTGGCCGATGTGTTAGCAGGCGCCAGGTAGGACGCCCCCGAAAGAGCGCGCGATCGACTGATGATCCTCCTCGAAGTGTTTGCGTGTATGTCAATTATTTCCTTTGATCGGCTCTCACTGATTGTGAGCTTCATTAATCACCGATCAAATCAACGACGGATTCAGTCACTATATACAGTACAACAGTTAGATCGTCATGCATAATATCGCATAATCTCGTCTTCAACGACTTTCTTATCTTTGGAAGCAGTTTTGGGGAGATTATTTCTATATGATTATTTCCGTTTAATTATAATATAAGGTAATTATGATTCAAGCAATTATAAATCGGTAATCATAAACTGGAAAACTATATACATTATCGAATCAAACTTATCGAGAAATTACGTTAAAAATGTTATATGTAATTCCATATATAATTTTTTTATGTATAATTTCAAATTTGTATCAAACTCTTGTATCAAAGAGCAGTATGCATGCATACATATTCTTTGATTGATAATTTTATTTCTTTATTTATTAATTATGATTACTCAATACCCCATAATCACTCATCATTAATTTAATTAGTCAATAATCATTAACAATTATTTTCTGCCCAATTCTGCTTAAAACATACACGTCACAAGTGCATCAATATCGCCAAACATTTTACAGTCAACATCATTATAATACATATCGCAGATATATATGTATGTATCGTAATAAATACGATTGTACAATTACATATCGTGAGAACAATGAAATCGACATGATTGTTATGCCAATGCGTTATTTGGCTAAAGCGCCGGCATAAAGTAGCACATGTAAGTAATTAAACTCGCTTCAATTTACAGTTGTAGCGAATTAGGTGAATTAGAAGATATCGCGAAGTGCAATGCTGCAACTTGTCTAATTGATTGTGTCAATTGCTTTTCGACACAAGTGTGTGTTGCGTGAATGAAAGCGCAAAGCGGTCCATTCAGTCATCATTATTTCGCGCAGTCTGTGCAATTTGTGCTCCGAAAACGAATAAAATTAACAAGGATGACTCAAGCAATGAATCGAATGTCGTAAGCCGGATGATATTCACGACAAGGAAAGAGGAGAGTCTTATTTATGTGAATTGATATTTTTTTCCAACTTTATTCACACATATGTCCACTTACATTATTAGCCTGCATAAGCCAAACATAGGATTACGTAATGATATATTATATATATATATTTTTTTTTATACTTTATGTATACATATATATGTCTCATCTTTTTCATTTTTTATAAATAATCAACTAAGGGAATATCAATTCATTTAGGGCAATATTAATTGGCGATCTTGTACTCATTTCGCACTCGTGGCCTTTGAGGAATGTGCACATTCGCTTTCTCTTTCGTAGTAAAATAATATTTCGTGTTTGTGTGTGTGTGTGTATATGACTAAACACCGTCATTCGATTAATTACACTTACGCGCGCATCATATGCGTATGCGCATGTGTGTATATGTAAATAAAACGCGAATAAATATATAAATATACGTGTATATATATAAATCTTATACTTCATTGAAAAAAAAAACAAATCAAAGGGTAACTTAAATAAAAGAAATTTTTTACGTAAAAAACAAAAATTAATAGCATCCAAACTTTGTGCTTCATGTATAGATACTTATATTCTATCAACGTTTGACTATAATGCAGAATATTATGCAATTAATGACAAACTGATTTATCAAATCATTGCAATTCATTATATATTTTCGTTTTTTCTTCATTATATTTAATGGCAATTAATTAACGTAAAAAATGTTTAATGTTAAAAATTTTTAAAAATGATAACACACAATAAAATATTTTTGTTAAAGAAAAATTAATTTTTAATTTTTTTTTCAGAAATTGTGGTTGAAAAATAATTAAATATATCTGGAAATATTCTGATAATTCTAAAAAATTTTAAACCAGCTTGGGCAATAGTAAAACATAAAGTCTATCCCGCTTATCTCATTGCATCAAATCGTAAAAAAAGAATGCTCCGAAAAGAAAAAAAAGTTAATCCACAAGCAATTGAACTAGATGTAATTGCACTAAGTTTCGTCCTAGTTCGCAAACTAGAGTCGATTTGTACATTCTCACTTCATTTGACTCATGACTTTAATCGGTAAACATCATTCTCGAAAGAGATCATTATGCAGGTGGGTCTAATCATTTTAAAACAGAAAATAGCCTCTTTATGGACAAATCACTTATAAAAATCTTACTTATCGAATTACTTATCGATAGTCACTTTGCGGACGAACATTGTATCATACTCAACTAATTTCGTTTTTAGAAAATATAGTGTAAAATTATATTTACACCTGATATACGTATGATACTATGTGTCCGCATGTTCACAGATAATTTATTATTTGTGTAATTAATTTAATAATTTATATAATTTTTTTAATAGTAACCCTCCTCTTTAATAGTAATTTCTCTCTTTATAAAGATTGCATTGTATATATATATTTTTATAAAAATAACAAAATTAAGTTTAACTAAGTCTTTTAACTTATGCATTTTACGATTTTTTATGGCATTATTGTTCTTTAAATAAATTATGTTATCATTAAAAACATAATTACATATTCTTTTATAGCAAATATTATTTTAGTCATTTAAAATAAAAACTGCGAAGATACGCAGACGTGACTATCGACGACTCTGTAATGACGAAGTGAAATGTACCCATTGCACCATTCGTTGTATGAAATCGGAGCTGATAAAAAAAATAGAACAAACAATAACGACAACAAAATAAACAAACGAAATATACGATATTAACATTCGCGAAATGAAACTAAAATTAAATTAATGTACTATACAATAGTATATGTATAGTACATTATCTCGTTTACTATATACATATATAATAAAATTAGTGTATATTATATATATATATATATTAGATTTAGTATGTATATATTTGGCAAATTTCTGACACCTTAAAAACTATCGCACATGAGTATGCGTAATATCATAGATTTACGATCCAGGACCGAGGAAAGATCCCCAGAAACATTGAGACGTGTCGATTTATAGCGACATACTTAGCCAGTCGTCAAGACATTGTAAAAAACACAAATTTCGATACGTTGACACGTTCAATTAAAAAATAATGGCACAGAACGATTAATCGAATGTTAACTCGACTCGTTATTCACATCGATCATGGTAAAAATGCACGTGTGTATAAACATAAATATATATTATTGCTTAATATAATATATATAAATATATATAATTAAAACGTGCATATGCAAAAATAAAAAGATATAAAAAAGAAAATATTATACAAGTAAAAAATAATGTATAAATAATTAAAACCATATATTTTTTGCTTGTTTCTTTAATTAAATTTATCTTTAATTAATTTTTCCGTTTGATTTTTCATGAAGAAATTTTGTTTCAAAGATAACTGATTTGATTAGGAAATTTTACCATGATCATGTAAATTACGGATCCTTGGCGATTGATTTTTCAGATTGATGATCTGATAGAATCGATCGCTGAAATGTATCAATTGCACGAAAAAAATGCACATTCCTCCTTACGCTATTAAGTACTGAACTCAAATTTGACTAGATAAAATAAATCGTTTCTGTTCTTCCTTCGTGTCTTTGGTTACAAAAATGTGTATGCGTTTATGCGTTTTGTGTATATGTTTATTTTGTGTAAATTGTGTGTCTTCTCATGTGCATTATACACATATAGATACATATACATACACATATATGTATGTGTACAAATGACTAGGGTGTAAAATTTAAGACAGGCATAATATAGGTTCCTCGTCGACGACTAGAGTAGAATAGGCCCGACAGTAACACATTAGAAACGTCACAGCAAATAATTATATACGTCACAATTTTTTCATAAGTATATCCTATCTTTAATAAAAAATAAAATCGATTGCACCACATAACGAGAGTTAAATTCGAGAGACGCGAAAAATATGGCACACAAATTAAACCCTATCAAAAAGGAAAAAGAGACAGAGAGAAAGAGAGAGAGGAGAGAGAGAAAGAGTTACTCGTTAAAATTAATTTAATACATATAATATCTGATATGTATATGCAGCAGATATTATTTTATTATAATTGCAATTAATGCAATTATAAATTATTGTAAATAATTATCGAATTCGCTGCTGCGAAGCGCAGGAACGAAAACTTTGGCCATTCATAGCAAATTGATTATTTCGTGTAATATTTAGTCGGATTATAAATTGCATCTATATGTTTGTTGAATATTAACTGAAAAGCAACAATATGATATAAAATATAGAAATTCTGCTTTCATAATCTATCTTTTTTCTGTATCTCCTTTTTTTCATCCTGTCTGACTTATTTGCGAGAATTCTACTATTATGCGCGC